TTTATGCTACCTGCAGACAATGCACCCTGGTGGTTAAAGAGTGAACTTCACTGATGTCTTTACCCACCCAGACAGTGCACCCTGGTGGTCAAAGAGTGAAATTCACTGAACTCATTCAAAATATCTAGGAAATCTTCTGAGCCTACACTAGTCATGGCAGAGTGCCCTATTGAACCAGAAGAGTTGGTCCAACCAACTAACCTCGACTTGTACACAGAACCTGATGTCCATAATTTGGAAAAGATCAAAGCATCTCAGAAATCCTATGACTTGAGACAACAAAGAAAGCCCTCCAAAGCTAAATGGTCAAGCCTGCTGGAGAAGTAGAGTGACCTCTATGATCGTCATAAGGAATCCTGGGAGAAGCTGCATCCCAAGATAGGCTTTCCCCAAGGTGCATTCGTTCTCTGGAAGAGGATATGGATAGGCGTTTCCTAAAATGTACTGACTATGAACGCCGTCTTATAGACATCCAGTCACAACTAGGAGATCCAACACTCAAAGAGAAAATGCAACACCTCAAAATGTTAAACAAGGAACGTGAGAAACTACTTCAAAGCAGTAAGGAGTCTCTCCAAGCCAAACTTCAGGTGAAGGACACAACGAACGAGAAGGCTGAATCCGAAGAGTCTCATCGTTCGCATGCACCATCCCAGCAATTACATGTGTCTTCCCCTCACTCCTCTAACAAAGGCACATCTGTTTGTCCCAAGTCACATCTCCAAGATGAACTTCAGGCGAAGGACGCACCGAAGAAGAAGACCGAGTCCACAACGTCCCATCATTCACACGCACCATCCCAGTGGTCACATGTCTTTCTCTCACGCCTCTAAGAAAGCTTTGTCCTTTCATTATAACTCACCACGATCTCAGGTGCATTCCAGCGTGTCATAGCAACCTTCTGTCTCAGGTGCCTCCCATCACTCCAAAGCATCTTCTCGTCATAGCCATTCCTCCCGGTCTCCAGAGCAGAGAGCCTGGGTGCTCAAGCTGAACAAGCACAAATCAAAGCCGCAGCAGCCATTGCGAGCCTGCATGTGGCAAAAGCACACAAGCTCCAACCCAAGTGAATGTCTCAGCGACTATCATTCTTAGTAATAGGAGAGCATTCCACCTGAAACCATGCCAAAAACACGTTACACTTTCAACATCCAAGCCCGTTTTAGGAGAGACAGTGTTCCAGATCAGCAAAGACGTGGCCTTGTCGATAGAGGACAAGGAATTTCTAGAGCTGTTGAATAAAGAATTCCTAAAGGATGCCACAGGGAGTTGGGTAGCCCCACTACCCTTCCGCATACCCAGGCAGCACCTGCCAAACAATCATGAGCAAGCTCTCTCTCGCCTCAACAGCCTAAGGAGAATCATGAACAGGAAGCCAGAAATGAAAGCTCATTTAGTGGAGTTCACGGAAAAGATGATCAAGAGCAGACACAGCAAGCTTGCCCACTACTGAAGAAAGATGAAGAGTGCTGGTATCTACCATTCTTTGGAGTGTACCACCCACAAAAGCCAGGTCAGATAAGAGTAGTCTTCAATGGCAATGCACAGTTCCAAGGCATCTCTTTGAACAAAGTCCTTCTCACAGGGCCTGATCTCACCAACAGTCTACTTGGCGTGCTCATCCACTCCAGAAAGGAAGCCATAGTGGTCATAGCCGACATCCAATAGATGTTTTATTCATTCTACGTCAGGGAAGATCATCGCAATTACCTGCACTTCCTGTGGTTCAGCGATGCAAATAACAGAGTACAAAATGCAAGTGCACATCTTTGGGAATGGCTCTTCCCCTGCAATTGCTAACTACGGCCTGCAACACACCACCCGTATAGGTGAAGCCAAATACAGTACAAACGCCAGACGCTTCATAGAATGGGATTTCTATATTGACGATGGCCTAAAATCTGTACCCACTCCAGCAGAAACCATAGACCTATTGAAAAGGACATGCCAGATGTTAGCAGCAGTCAACCTTAGGCTACACAAAATCGCATCCAACAGTGAAGAAGTGTTGGAAGCATTCAATCCTGAAGACCACGCTAAAGGTCTACAGGACCTCGATTATGGCATGGATGACCCTTTCATCAAACAGAGTCTCGGTTTGTGTTGGGACTTAAAGAAATATGTCTTCACCTTTAGAGCTCCAGCCCAGAACATTGTCTTCACAAGAAGAGGAGTTTTGTCTACAGTAAACAGCCTGTTCGACCCTCTAGGGTTCGCTGCACCTGTAAATGTCCAAAGGAGCTCCTTCTGTGCGCACTCTCCCAAGGCACCACAGACTGGGATGACCCGCTTCCATCAGAACAGAAGCAAGACTGGGAGATGTGGTGTAGATCTTTAAATTGTCTCCAAAGCATCCACATACAGCACACGTATGTTCCCATTTCACTTGCCGACACAACGAAGAAAGAGCTGCATGTGTTCTCAGATGCTTCAACAAAGGCAATAGCAGCTGTAGGATACATCAGAGTCTACGGCAGGGAGAGCTACTATGTCAGTTTCATTATGGGAAAGGTGAAATTAGCTCCACAACAAGGTCACACCATATCCAGACTAGAGCTCTGTGGTGCCATTCTGGCTGTAGAACTCACAGACATAATATCGAAAATGATAGAGCTTGAGCTACAATCCACCATCTTCTACACAGACAGCAAGGTGGTGTTGGGCTACATCCATAACCAAAGCAGACACTTCTATGTCTATGTAAGCAATAGAGTGGAAAGAAACAGAAGATCTTCAAATGTGGCAATATGTGCCAACAGATTAGAATCCAGCGGACCAGGCTACGTGGTCCATTCCTGCATCACAGTTGGCAGAATCAATCTGTTAAAGGGTCCTGAATTCTTGGTTCATCTAGACATCCAGATGACACAGTCACCAGAACATCACAAGCTTCTAAACTCAAATCAAGAGGACAACGTTCAACCTCAGGTACCCAACAAATCGCTCAGACAGGGCAAGAAAATGACCATTCAGATTGTCTGCTTGTCTACAGACATCAAGGAGACAGAGAAACCGTCTCCCAATCACTTCCTAGAACCGACTCACTTCGAACGCTTCTCCAGATAGTGGGTGTAGCAGTGATTGTTCGTTTCTTGCATCACAAGATGAGCTTCCCAAACAGTTACCTCTAGGCCGAGAGAGGGATTCTTAGAAGTGTGCAGTAAGACACATACCTAATGGAATTTGAATGTCTGGAAGCTAAAAAGTCTATCCCTAGGTCTAGTGCATTGCTGAAATTGAACCCGTTCCTAGATAGTAATAACTTACTTCGAGTAGGAGGGTGTCTAGATAAGGTTGAAATAGTGTCAGACATCAAGCAACCTATCATCCTTCCTGCACGTCAATATATCACATACCTGCTGGTCTAACACTACCACGAAACCGTCCACCATCAAGGCAGAAGGTGCCATCAGAACGGTTGGACTCTGGATCGTGGGAGCCAAAAGATGTATCACCACAATTTTGTACAGGTGCCTGCATTGCCGTAAACAACAAGTTGTGACACAACACCAGTTGATGGTTGACCTGCCACCCGAGCGCCTTAGTCCATCGCCACCATTTACCAACGTAGGCCTAGATATATTTGGACCTTGGTCCGTGTCTGTTCATTGGACCAGAGGTGGCCAAGCCAATAGCAAATGTTGGGCCGTTCTCTTCACATGTCTTAGCATTTGAGCTGTCCACGTTGAAGTCATCGAATCTATGGACACTTCTTGCTTCATCAATGCTCTAAGAAGGTTCCAAGCCTACAGAGGCCCAGTTAAAGTATTTAGATCTGACCGTGGAACTAACTTTGTAGGAGCCTGCAAGGAACTGCAGATTGATGAAGGCATTCACCCCAACTCAGCAATTGACATACCTAAAGGCCCAAAATTGTGTATGGACATTCAATCCTCCCTATGCATCCCACATGGGAGAAGCGTGGGAGCGCATGATTGGCATAGCCCGCAAAATTCTGGACTCAATGTTGACAAAGATACCCATGCTGACCCATGAGGTCCTCACTACCCTCATGGCAGAAGTAGCAGCTTTCATCAATGCTCGACCTTTGGTTCCAGTTTCTTCTGATCCTGAAAATCCAACTATCCTCACCCCAGCCGCCTTGCTAACCCAGAAGACAGGTGACTGGCCAGCACTATTAGGGAACTTTGTTCCCAAAGACATGTATAAACAGCAATGGAGACAAGTTCAGCTGCTGGCCAACACTTTTTGGAAGCACTGGAAGCAAGAATACTTGTCTACCCTTCAGGATCGCCACAAATGGAAGACAAAGAGCCCAACCTATAAGGAGACCTTGTCTTGCTGAGAGACAAGGATGCACATCGGAACTCTTGGCCCATGAGACTTGTGCACCAAGTTCTACCCAGTTCTGATGGACTAGTTCGCCAAGTTGAAGTCCAGATTGTGAAGCCACATGAGTCAGATCATGACTCAAAGACTCTCGTGAAGAGGCTTTACACCAGACCGATCATGGACTTTGTACTGCTGCTGAGGAAGACCGAACTTGAGGATTGATCCTTCAACTATGCATATTATGTTTACCTCATGATTGCATTGTTTGATGTTATGCCTTTGTTTATCTCAGTTATAGTTATGCATGTTTTGTATTTATATTATAATTGCATTATTTGATGTTATGCCTTTGTTTATCTCAGTTATAGTTATACATGTTTTGATGCAATGTTTTTTTTTTTTTTGCTTATTCTAGTTAGTTAATAGTGGAAATTGTGTATTTCCAAGCGGGGAATGTGCTGGACCAGTATATAATTCTGGCCAGAGCATATAGCTAGCTTAGAAAACTGTGTATAGAGCAAGTAGCATTTAAGGGGTTAAATGCTGTCTCCTTAAGAGATGGCTTCTGGGAAATGTAGTTTTAGTTGTTACATGGTTATATCTGTGTTCTAATTGGTCAGTTCTATGTCTTAACTAGCCGTTGGGAGGGACTTCAATGTTTATGACAGGATTTCCTGGCTATGGGCCAGTATGAAAAAGTTTTGTGTAGCACAGCCACGAGGTCTTTTGCTCCGTACGAACATGGGGTGAATTTACCTTTAATTTTTTACACCACAAGAACAGACAGATTGTGAAACGTGCCTCAAAAGAACTCTTCTTAACTGTGAGTTATTGTTTAGAGATTCCTGAAGAATAAATAATCTAATATTAATCCATCTGTGGAATTAATCTGTCTGTGCTAAGCAGGAATAAAGCAAATCTCTTGTTTGGAACAGAACACAAGTAATGGATGCTTGCCTCGATTCAGCTAGCTGCATGATGGATGCTTGACATTGCTCTTGCAAATCCATCAGGAAACCTTTATCTGGTGCCTTTTGCAGAATCATTTTGGGCTAATCTCATTTTGTAATGCTCAAATACTTCTGAAAGACTGAATGCATTTTATATGTTAGAGCTGTTATAGTTCAAACTATACACCTTTACAATCAGCAGTGGTATAAGATAAATGAATGATAGGCAGCTGTCTACTGATATATCTAACCCAGCTTTCTACAATCTTTAGATTTCAGCTGTTGTAATTCCCACATTATGAAAGCAGATGCACAATACATATGAAGGACAAATTAGAGAAGTTATTAGACATGGCCAGATTTGAAAAACTAAATAAGGTTGGATCTGATAAGTACTTGAATCATGAGGAAATACCAAGAATAATAACTATATTTGGAAGTTAAAAAAAAATAAAACTGAAGCAAGCAGTGACAAATCACTTCCATACCACTGCCAAAATAAGCCTATGGTGTGTGTCTATAAAATCACAACAAAAGTGAGTTCCATTAGAAAGAGTCAAGCTTTACTTTTAAAAATGTTCAAGCTGTAAATCCATACTTAGCATTGCCTGGTATTGCTGGAATTGGGGAGGCAACAGATCAGTTTCGTATTACAGCAGCCTTTGCCTTGGGAGAGGCAGTTCTCAAGTGAAAGCAGATGTAGCCACTTGTATTCTAAAATAAGATTTGCCAAATGCATGAATAGAATCATAGTAAATTGGAATCAGAGTGGAGTGAAGTTATGCTGGTGGATCTGAAAGGAAGCAGAGCAGGCCAGAGCAACTAAACAAGATTTTGGCAATGTACACTCATCAGCTCCTCTGTTCTAGACTGAGGCAAATAATTGTGTATTCCCATTAGAACAGTTTCTCATGGTCTTTCACTTTATGTATGTAATGATATCAAGGACCTATTTTTAGATGGTGCCACTAATTGCCACATCTGAAAACCTTAAAGAAGCTTAATAAAAATATCCATATAGGACCAAACTGTGATATGTAAAGTTAATTAGTGGCTTCCTGAAAAACTAAGTAACTTGTAGATCAGGGGTGTCAAACTGCCAGCCTGCGGGCCAGATGCGTCACGTGGAAGCTATGCCCACCCCATTGCCGGCAATGGCAAAACCGGCCCAATATGTTGCGCAACATCACATGATGTCGTGAGTTTGACATGCCTCTTGTAGATTATAGGTTTTAATCAGTGATGGGATTTAGCCAGTTCACACCGGTTCAGCAGAACCGATACTTAATTTTTTGTAGAGTTTAGTGAACTGGTTATGATAATCTGCACAAGCTTCCCCTGCTGCCTGCCCCCACCAGCCTGGTATCCCTTTGCCAGCCCTCCATTGCCACCACCACACTTTCTTGCACACACTTTCTTGCTGTCCTGCATCAGCCAGCATCTCCCTTCTGGAAATGGTAGCCCTATTTTCTGCTGTATCCAGAGCAGATACATTTTCCTCCTGATCAGCTGAGGGTATGGTAGCTACTGGTATGATTTTTGTAAGAAGCTGAGTGTCTGCTCTGGATTTTAAAGCAGAAAAGTAAAGGGGGGGGCAATTTCAAAGGGCCTGGAGAAAAAGAACAAAGCTCTTCTGTTTCCAGTCTGAAGCAGGTACCAAGGCTAAACTTGAGGGAAATGAATCTGCTCCTCAAGAGCTTTGCAGAACTATTGGGGCTGGGCTGGCCTTCCTTGCCTAGCTCCTACTGGTATATTTTCCTGGAGCTTAGCCTCCTTCCATACAAGGTGTTCCTCCTTTCCTCCCTTTTGCCAGGAGGAAAGTGGCAGAAAATGGGGCTGTCATTTCCAGAACAGAGAAGGGAGATGCTGGCCAATGCAGGGCAGCAAGAAAGTGCAGAGCAGCAGAAGGAAGACAGACTTAAGGACACCCAGGGAGGCAAAATAAGCTATTGTAAGCCACCTTTCTCCCTTTCTTTCTTTCTTGTCTGGGAAAAAGGCAGCCCATGTGGGCTGCTTCTTTGTGCAAACAGGTGCACAGTGGCAGCGACAGAGGGCAGTGGAGGGATACCATTGCTGGCAGAGGGAGCTGGCAGGGGAGCCACCAGGAAGAGTTGGCAGAGGAGATGGGGGCTGTTAAGTCCTTGAGTTAATGGCGAAAGAAGAGCATGCATTCTGTATCCAACAGTTCTTTATTCTTCTTTTGCTCACTCCAACAACAACAACAAAAAGCCAGAGGCTCGCAGGCCTCTCCCCTAATATATGGATTCCTGAGCAAAAAGGTTACAAAGAAAAAATGGCGCGCTTTCGCGCCTTGCGCATGCGTGCAGGCTGGCACCACTTAGTCTGGTCCCGGGCAGCTTGCAACAGCCCGGGACCATAGCAACGTCCCGAGCCTGCTTTTGCAGGCTCTGGACACCACCAGGAAGGGGCTACCACCAGGAAGGTGATTTGCGGGGCAAAGTGGGGGCGTCGGGTGGCGGGGACCAAAGAAAGCCCCTCCAGCGGCAGACATGGCTGTTGCACAGTGGTGGCAGAGCCTTTTGCCATCACTTCCCCCTGGCTCCAAATCGGTGGAAGGGGACTAGGTAAGGTCCATCCTCCATAGCATGGCAGTCCAGCTCGGGAGGGGAGTGAAGGGAAGAGGCAGGTCATTGAACTGGCAGGGGGAGGTCACCAAGTAGGGGGTGGCCTGGGTGCGAGGCCCCAGAAGTAAGCAGGTGCAGGAGCCATGGGTCAGTTCCCCCCCCACTCTAGTTTGGTTTTTACATGTGCGCCTCTTAAAGGATTCTGTGATTCCAGAGAGAACTGTTGTTAAATTATTTGAATCCCACCACTGGTTTTAACATATCAAGTTATATGAGTTGAATTCTGTTAATATAGTAAGATTTCTCTTTCCTTTCATCACTGTGCTGGGAAAAAAAGCATTTAAACAAATAGCAAACTGATAATGGCACTCAGCAATAGTAGAAAACATGCTGATATAAGGGTCATGCAGACAAGGAGGAACTAAAATTGAAGACAATTTGTGAAATTTCAGCTGTAGAGATGTAGACCACAGCTGTATCTATAAAAGAGTCCATCTTAAGTAATTGACTCAGATATTCCTATGCAGTAGAATATTACAATTCTTGAACTGTAAAAACGTAGTTTATTAACTATACCTGTAGATGCATCTTTTTCATGCTAGATATTTGTTGCTCATGTTTTGTGGTGGCATGTTTATGGAACAAGCTTGTTATTGCCACTATAGGGTGATAGGGAATAGCACTTAAAACTATGTATTTTGAGCCCTTTCAAATGTGTGGTACATATTTAATCATAGATACATGTTTTATTATTTCAACTGTGATTAACATTGTGAATAAGCTGGATATAGAAAGTTCCAGATAATGAAATGAGTAAAAAATATACAAATGTGGTCACTTTAAAAAGAGAAGTGGTAGGATGAACTATTAAAAAAAAATTACACAAAGTTAAGGTAATTTTTTAAAAATATTTTTGTCATCCTTGAAGATTCTAAACGTTCTATGAGAACTCACCTTCTAGAAGGTGAGCTCACAAATATCTGAGCTGAGTCCTGAATTACAGAGACAATTTAATAGCATTTGCATCACTTTTAGATATCTGCATGAACTTTCTATATCCAGCTTATTCACAATGTTAATCACAGTTGATTTGCTGCCACAAAAATCTCAGGAAAAAGTAGTTCTTTATTACTTTACACTGGGCCGAGTGCTGAATTCTACTAAGGAAGATTTTGATATTATATTTTTGTCTTATGCTAGTATCCTTTTCTGTATAGATTTTAAAAAATGCCATCCTCTGTGAAATAGCAGAAACTGAGTGTGAATGTTATGATGCTTTTGCTTTAAACATAGTTGAAATAGGGACTGATATAAAAAAAACAGAATTTTGTTTCTGTTTTTCATTTAAGGGAAAAGGCACCTTACTCATTTTCACTGTGACAAACACCACTTCAGCTCCAATTACTAATATCTTGTATTGCTGGAAGAACAGATAGTCCTTCACTTACAACTATAACTGAACCAAAATTTCTGTTGTTAAGTGAGACATTTCTTAAGTGAGTTTTGCCTCATTTTATGACCTTTCCTGCCACAGTTGTTAAGTGAATCACTACAGTTGATAAGTTGTTAAGTGAATCTGGCTTCCCCATTGGCTTTGCTTGTCAGAAGGTTGCAAGAGGGGATCACATGACCCTGGGACACAACAAAGGTCGTAAATATGAAGCAGTTGCCAAGCATCTGAATTTTGATCACAGATCATGGGGATGCTGCAAAGGTCATAAATATGAAAAACAGTCATAAGTCACATTTTTCAGTGCTGTTGTAACTTTGAACGGTCACTAAATGAACTGTTGTAAGTTGAAGACTACCTGTATCCCTTTAGGTATGAAACATGTCTGTGTTCACACAATACACTTAATGAGATGAAATGATATATTTGCACACGGTAAGCTTAGTATTAACATTCATTAGTTTTTTTAATGTACTGTATATGGTTCAGTTGGATGTATAACCTGCCAAAATCCAAAGAATGGCTAGTTCAGTAACCAAATTATGGGCAGTATGCAAATGCATCTAATGCATATTAGGGTAGGTAGAGGCAATAACATCTACGTATGTACCACTCTCTATATTGAAATTACTAAGTCTTTTGAGCACATTTTTCTTTTTATATCCTAATTCTTCTTTTCAAAAGTATTTTTATTTTATTTCATAGTTAACTAAATGATCTATTTTCAAAGTAAAGCCCTTAGTCGAAGAAAAAAAAGCAAAAGCAAAAACTATCTGTAATTTACTGTATTTATAGGTTAAAATTGTAATTGCATCTAGTTCTTGGTTAAAATTAAATG